AAAAAAAAAACGTTTGTTTTTAAATTATAATTATTAAAAACTTAATTAAACTTTTTTAAGGTTTTTACTCTCGTGCATACTTTTTTTCTTTTACTTTTAAAATCTTGTAAAAATTTTAATAATAATAATAATGATGATGATGATGATTGAAGTTAATAATAAGTCTTTTTTTTTTAAAAGCATAGTTCAATGTGAGATGGACAAACAGGAAGAAATAAAAATCAGCCAAGAAATTTTGTCTCTTTTTTTTTTTTTTTAAATTCGCCATCTTTATAATTAATTAACAAGATTAAAATTAATTAATTGACCTAAAAAAAAAAAAATCATTTTTTTTGTTATAAATAATTCTCTTTCGACTGGACAACAACAACAACAACAACAAACAAAAATTCTTTTTAATGTAAAGCTTCAAGAAATTATGAAAAGGTCGTTTGTTTGTTGTTGTTGTATAAAAAAAAAAAAAAATTTTTTGTCTATTAAATCATTCGTCAAAATACGAAATCGTTAAAAAATCAAAAATTTTTTTTATTTTTATGTACGTTAATTAAATTTCTTTTTTATTTTTTTTTCGAAAAAAAATAGAATTCGTTTTTTTCTAATAGAAATCTATTTTAAATAATTTTTTGTTGCAATTTATTAACAAAAAAAAAATTAGTTTAAACGGCGCCAAAAAAAAAAAAAAAAATTATCAATGAGAAAAACGAAATCGCCAGACTTTTAAATAATTGCCATTTAAATAATAATAATAATAATTTAGTTTCAAGTTTTTTGTTTATTAATGAAGAAAATTCATATTTAAAAAAAAAAATTAAAAAGTTACACAAAAAAAAAAAATTTAAAACATAATTTAAACAATTTAAAAAAATTACGTAAAATTTAATTTTTTTTTTTAACGCGTGTTACACACGCACATTTTTAATTTCATGCCGGCACGTGTGTTTAGAAATTGATAATATCGATCTATCGAATTTTTTTTAATTTCGATATTAACCATAAGAAAACATAAAATCGATAAAACATAATCGATATAATCATAATCGTTGCGAATGAACGCCCCCCTTTTTTTTGTTTTATAGGAATGATAATCATTTTTTATCATCGTTTGAATTATTAACAATTATATTAATTATAAACAATTGCAAAAGCGTTTTAATTATAAACAAATGTTGCGACGAAGGTATGATATTCGAAAAAGGTTTAAAATGCGTACAAAAACCACAAAACGGAACATTGTTAAATGACGACAATGGCGACGACGACGAAAAGGATTTCAATTGGTTTCCAACGGATTTAATCGTCGATATGAAAACATATAAAATAAATAAAAAAAAAAAAAAATACAATGAAAATATAATAAAAAATTCAATTATAAATTACGGTAAAAAACCGGATTGCGATTTAAATGACGCGGATTCAACGGTAACAAATTCGGAAAAGCAAATTTTTAATTTTTTACTCTATGACGACTCACGAATGGATGTTTACGTGTCGACAAATAAATCACTTCATCATTACTCGCACGCTTATTATTTTCCAATCGTTGAAGAAAACGACGTGGAAGCAGATAATGAAAAGGAAAATTTTACGATACTCGCCGATAGAGATTCAGGTGATGATAATGATAATGATAATAATTATTATTTTTTAATGGCGTTTACTTTCACATTTTGTTTATATTTTCCTTACAGTTAAATTACGAAAATTTCCGATTGAAGATGTTTGCGTCGATGGCATATTAAATTCGAATCGTCACAGGTTGTTGATATGTCCTTGCAAATCGTCAACCTGTATAAGAAAATGTTGTAAAGATGATGAATTTTATAACGTCACGATACAATCGTGCGAACCTAAATCCGATTCAATTGAAAAATGGCGTCCGAAAAATGCAGAGGTGAGTCAAATAATAAAAAAAACTTTTTTTCACTAAATTAAATGCAATCGAGAGGTCTTCCCCTTTGCCTCCTTTTGGCTCCCCTTTTATTTTAATGGAAAATAAATAAATGAATTTAAATAAAAGACAAACGAAAAGTCAATTATTATTAGGAAAAAAATGTAGGGCAGTAAGATATCCGAGAGTGAGGGGGGGGGAAGAGTTGATGGGGGGAAGGGAATTTTTTTTTTTTTTTTACTGTCGTGTCTTAAGAAAGCCTGTTGGATTAAATCCAAACAAACGATTTTTTTTTTTTTTTTTGATAATTTTATTTGGTGATCGAATTTTATTTTTTATTTTTTTATTTATATTTACGAAAAATAATTTAATGGCGGTTTAAAAAATTAAAAAATTTACGCGGCAAATAATTGCCGTTTGTTTTCAAAATGGCGGCAAAAATTACAAAGGCGAAATGTGTGATCGTCGCGAGAAAATAAAGAAGGAAGTGTTGGCGTAACGGAAACGTGGGAGGTTTTTTTTTTTTTTGTAAATAAATTTAATTAAAAATTAATAATAATAATGATAATAATAATAATGATAATGATGATGATGATGATAAGGATAGTATAAGGAATGATCGGGTTTGGGAGAAAAATTTCAAAAATTTATTCGATGAAAGCGTGAGACTCCAGTAAATTCATGGCAAAAATAAAAAGTCACGACAGAGATAAAAAAGATAATGATAATAAAAAAAAAAATGTACAACGTCACGACAGCAACAACCGTGGAAAATTTTCGAAAAAAAAAAAAGAAAAAATTTTGAAAGGAATGAAAAAGACCTGCCCAAAAATTTTATTTTATTTTTTTTTTCGTCATCAGTTTCGACTTTTATACTCGTGTGGGAAAGATATAAGAAAAAGTTTTTCCAGCGTGTAAAATTAACGGTTTTTTTTTATCCGGTTCGGGTTCCAGTTACTTAATCATTTTCTCCAGTTGATTCCATAAAACACATCACGTGTTTAATTTTTTTTTTTTTTTAAATTCGTTAACGTAGTAGAGTTTAAAAGACAAAAAAAAAATTTTTTTTACTCTTAAACAAAACGAATTTTTACATTCATTTGACAGTGACGATAATAATAATAATTTTTAATTAATGAAACCTCCTTCCTCCC